GAATACTTGGTAAATCCTGACTGCTGCTCCAAAATGAATTTTCTGCAAAACGCACCTCTTTATTTAAACGTGGTTGAGTGTGCAATGGGGATGCAAGCGTATTTGTATCTATTGTGTAGTAGTATCCCAGCTCTGATTCAAAGACTATGAACAATCTCCATACCTCGAATTTGTAAACTTTAGGTTTCAATTCATTCATCAAACTGTGAACATCTGTACAGAACACCAAAGAGCCGTCGTTTCCTTCATTGAAGAACTTTCGAAACTAATTTTTTCGATCTCTGAAAAAAGTCCATTTCGTTTCAGGTTCTACCAATCATCGACTCTTTAGTTCCGCAGCCAAAAATTCAGCAGCATTTTTCAGAAGACTTACTTTTCTAATAAAATCATCCAACTCTTCCTAATTAAATTGATCTGGACGTTGCTTTACCTGCACGAGAATTTTTTGTGATCCTCGTTCAGGCAAGCAATAACTCTTCCGGTATCTAGATCTCCGCAACAAATGGTATGGCCTGTGACAATCGTCTGAATCACTATCAACGCATACCTTTGCTTCCCCAACTGATAACTATTATCATGCCAGTAGTCTTCAATCTTCAGAAAAACATTGGCGACGTATGAATGACTTTTTCGCCACACTTCTGATTTTCGTTAACCAATGAACAAATCTCCCTCCGCCCTTCTAGATGCTGCTCGTTTTATCCTTGAAGACGCGTCTCCGAATAAATATTGAACCCTTCTCCTAAGGCGTTAAATAGAATTGAATTATATCCGCAGATCCCCATCCGTCTCGAGTTAATTCTGGCTACGCGTCGCGCTCGCAGTCGAAAAATAGTTGAGATTTATGTACGGAGTCTTCATCGCATACACCCTTGATTTATTCCTGCGAACTAGGCCAGATTTGTCGCGCTGGTTCCAAAAGGGGTGAGGATGGGGACCGTGGAATCCTGCCAACACCGCCTTTGTTCGACATCGCTCTATTAAACTGCACCTAAGTGAATTCCTCGTGAAATCTGAAGGAAAAATAAGTTTTACGGTGTAGATTCTTGTGTTTCACCTACATAGCAGAATTTTTATCGGATTGGAAAGGTCAATGGATTTAGGTCACCGAAAAAGCTGAGCGATATCAAAGATAAATGATACGCCGGGTCAAAATAAATATTGACCCTACTTAACATATTGAGAACTGTTGAAGAGGGGACGACAGGTAACTGCTCGAAGTGGGTTTTTCAACATCATTGACTTTTCTGTCATGTGTACAGGCTTTTTAAACGTCCTCAGTCCTCAGCAATAAAAGTTTAAGTCCGGGGGACGAAAAGGCTATGGAAATTCGGGAATAAAACATTTATAACACTCGATTTATATAATTTTACCAACAATTAGTTTTAATGCACGCAGACTATGCTCAATGTGATATTTTAACAATCTAGCCCTACTCTATTCCCATTTGAAGTACTCAGGTCTTTTTTTATTGTGTATCGACATTTTGTAACTGATGGCAGTGGCGGCTTGTAACATTGTGAATAGGTGAGGTGGGCAAAAAATTTTTAATTTTCAAAATCAAATGACTAAATGCATGTGGAAATTTTTAATTGCATTTACAATATTATAGAAAAACTGGATGTTCACGAGCAGGATTTTCATAATAATAAACATTCAACGATTTTTCGTGAAATTTGTTTGTATATTCGGGAAATTTTGAGGAATCCATTAAAGCAAAAAAATTTAAATCATATAAATTCCCAAAATGAGTAGGTATGTACTTAATTAAGGGGAAATATATTTCGAAAATATTTCTAACTCGTCGCTATTTTTGCCCCGTCCAGTAATATTTTTCGCTTAATTAAAAATATTTTAAAATTTTTCTTCATTTCTTAATTCAGAAATTCTTTGACTAGTGATTTTAATTTGTTTAGAGCAGTAGTTTGTGTCATTACGTCTTGAAAAAGGTGTTTCAAGAGATAAAACAATATTGTGAGATAGCTTCATTATTAGCTACCCATGTAGGTATCTGATAATCTATTAAATTACGTTAAATTTAGTCTTACTTTGTTTTTTTTTTATAAGGAAGCTGTTTTTTTATTTACTTTAAATTTATACTTGCCTTGTCCTTATCCTTAACGACATTGTAACTATCCTTCACACTGACATCAGACACTTCACGCGTACTATGCGACACGTACATTAACCGCGAACTCAAAGACTGAAACTACAATCAGCTTTGAGCCGGCCTCAGTTCCCTCCTAAATCACGTTATTTAACGGCCTCGCGTGGAGGGGGAACTGTAGCATATTATAGGCAAGCCATGAATTTCTGGCCTCACCGTGGTGGGAAGTAACAGGATCCAATTCCGATGGAAACGGCGAGCGGCGAGATATTCAATATTCAAACAATTATTTTATACTGTTTGATACTTTGATAAATGTAATTGGTAATTTAAAACTAGTTTACCTAACTGTTTATTTAGGTTAATAGTGGAATACTAGGTATTAAAATATACGATGTGAGAGCCAAAACAACAAAATACTGTAAAAAACAAATTATACTTTAGCAGGAAACATGTTCGATATAATGATAATTTTAAAGAGAAGTATCGACAACTGAAACGTGGTATACAGGGTGTAACTAAATAAGTGTAAAACATTTAAGGGGGTGATTCCTCATCGAAAAAAAGATAGGATCTTTCATATAAAGAAACTTCATTGGAGCATCCCTTGTTAAGATACAGCCCCTTAAAGGGGGTACATAAAATTTGTTTAACAATTTTTTTCACAAGCACTAAACAAGTTACAATATTGAAATTAACCTGACATTTTCTACTACCAAAAAGACACTTAGCCAGTAATTTATTTGGTTTACCCCATGGTTGTAAGGGGTGGAAAACGCAACCCCTAAAATTTATTTCCAACGTAATTTTTTGTCTTATTATTTTTTTACCATTTAAAAATTTATTTCCGATAGCCTGTTTCATTCTAAAAAAAAATGTCTCTTGAATTTTTTGCCCAAATTAAACCAGTTCGCAGCAAAAAATTATTTTACGAACAAGATACATATCGCCATAAAACGAAAATACGAAACTAATTTATCTAGTAGGCCGCCATTAGCGATACTGACAATTAAATTGGAATCAAGCTGTCAGTTTGTAAATTTTTGAAATTGAAGTAATACTAATTGTGTATTGTTCTGTTCTTAATTTGTTACTTTAATAATTCACTTGTTATTAAAATGGCATACACAAATGAGGAAATGGCTGATATGCATTACGTTTACGGTCTGTCGCAGGGGAATGGGTTAGAAGCTTCTACAAGATATGCTGAAATGTATCCTCAACGGCAGCATCCTTCACATAGAATATTTGTCTGACTTCATCAACGATTACGTGAATATGGTTCATTCAACAAAAGAACGCAGGATTGTGGTCGCCATCGAGAAGTAAGAACACCACAGCTTGAGGCAGCAGTACTTAATTTGATAGAAGAACAACCTACTACCAGTACTAGAAAGATTGCTTTCCAGCTAAATGTTGATCATATGACGGTATTTCGAATTTTAAAGGAACATCTCTTATACCCTTACCATCTGCAACGAGTACAGGCACTGTTACCGCGAGACTTTCCGAACCGTCTTGAATTTTGCAATTGGATGCTGGAAATGATTAGAAGAAATCGTGACTTTCTGAAGACGATCGAATTCACAGACGAATGTAGTTTTTCTCGGGACAAGATTATTAATTTTCATAATTACCACATATGGGCTGATGAAAACCATCACGCTATTGTCGAAACTAACCATCAAGAACAGTTTTCTCTTAAGGTGTGGGTCGGAGTTATTGGGGATTATTTAATTGGGCCTCATTTTCTACCTCCTCGATTAAATGGTGAGGCATACGTTCAATTTTTAAGAAAAGTGCATCCCCCCGTACTGCTGGAGGAAGTTCCTTTGGGCGTCAGAAGGGATATGGTTTTTATGCATGATGGGGCTCCCGCCCATTTTAGTCAAGTAGCACGTCAGCATTTAACTGAAACATATGCAAATCAGTGGATAGGTCGAGGAGGACCACAGAATTGGCCCGCTCGATCCCCGGATCTCAATCCTCTGGATTTGTCTACTTGGGGCCATTTGCAGCATTTGGTTTATCGTACTCCTGTTCGCGATGTAGAGGACTTAAGAAACCGCATTATCGATGCGTGCAGGGTAATTAGAGAGACTCCAGGAATATTTGAGCGAATACGTGGCTCAATGCGCCGACGTCTAGACGCATGCGTAATGTCTGAAGGTAGACATATTGAACATTTACTATGATTTCTACATGTTGTATGTTTTGTTATTATTAAATTAGTTTTGATTATTCCCCTTTAATCATTTAATGCAGGTAGTAACTACAAAATAACAGTAAATCCAGTCCGCATTTATGACGATGTATCTCTGTAGTTGTTCGTAAAATAATTTTTTACTGCGAACTGGTTTAATTTGGGCAAAAAATTCAAGAGACATTTTTTTTTAGAATGAAACAGGCTATCGGAAATAATTTTTTAAATGGTAAAAAAATAATAAGACAAAAAATTACGTTGGAAATAAATTTTAGGGGTTGCGTTTTCCACCCCTTACTACCATGGGGTAAACCAAATAAATTACTGGCTAAGTGTCTTTTTGGTAGTAGAAAATGTCAGGTTAATTTCAATATTGTAACTTGTTTAGTGCTTGTGAAAAAAATTGTTAAACAAATTTTATGTACCCCCTTTAAGGGGCTGTATCTTAACAAGGGATGCTCCAATGAAGTTTCTTTATATGAAAGATCCTATCTTTTTTTCGATGAGGAATCACCCCCTTAAATGTTTTACACTTATTTAGTTACACCCTGTATTTATCATATTTCTTGTCTCGCAATAACAATTAATGCAGTATTACGGAAAATGTGTTTGAAATTATTTTTCCCCGAAGAACAAAGTTATAATCGTTTTTTCTAGATAAGTAATTTGATTACATCCTTTCCCTTACAGACTTAACGACGTGAAGACCTTAGTAAACGAATTATACGCAGCTCTACACGTACAGGAGCACCAATTCACGAAAGAAATGGAACTGACGATGCAGCTCGAGCAGATCCAGCAAGAACTGTTGCCTTTAGAAGAGGTGAGTCGATGTTTCGTCAAAAATTTAATTACCTTTCAACCATACCTAAAAGCTATTTCCTTTCACGACCCACAGAATAATAGCGTACCACACCTTCCCCGCACAAACAAGCATTTTACACATTTAGTAAAAAGAAACGCGTTTTTCTCTCTAAATTCTGCTAGGGTGCGGAACTTTTCTCACGTGCAACATTCTTTTAAGATCAAAACGGACAAGACAGTTGTCAATAATCACCAAATCCCCCCGAAACTTATAGCGGGATCCTCAAACTTTTCCATCGGCCTCGAAAGTTGTAAATTTTCGTGAAAAAGATGGCCCTGCGAACTACGTGGAAACTTTCTGGGCGTAAGCTGGGGGATAATGTCCGACTTGAAAACCTCGGGGTGCCGTTATTTTCCCTTGTTAGGCCATTAGTATAATGCTTTTTTTGAAGGTAATGTATGTATCGCCAGTTTCTCACCCATTCTCCGTTTCTCGCGGGCCAGGTTTTGGATTAAAATTCGGGTGTTTTCTCTTTATTTAATTCGTGGAACTAAAAATGTGATTTGTGATTATCTGCGTATGAAGTTAATTTAAAAATATCACACGAACTTGTTTTTTTTTCATAATATCACACAGAAATTTAACTATGCAGTTATATATGGCATTACTATCGTGTAATAGTTTTCATTTCGTGCGTATCAGTCGCGGTTCAATTTCGTTGTTTTATGTTTTGGAAAAAAGTGTAAAATCATACTGTATCTTATTTAGAGTTTTATTACTTTTTAGTAGCACCTGATTTAACTTTCCTAAGTAAGTATCCACACACGAGTATTAATTAATATTTAATAAGTCATATAAAAAATATTATTTTTTTAAAAATACTCGATTTTTTCTAATGTCCTACTCTTCGTCTACATTGAAATCAAAAGAAACATGGCGACTTTAAAATAACATGTCGCAATAACGATTTGTTTTTACGAAATTATTTTCCATTGCAGTTTCGCTCTCTGCCACTCCATTATTTCATACAGTTGGTTTAAAAAGGTAACAAAAAGTTAATTCTGATACGCATGCGCGTTCAATTGGGTTCGGGAATAGCTCAATGACGGCGTAAACAAGAATGTTAAAAATTATTTTTATTAAAAAAATAATACATGGTTTAACTCCTAAAAAATGTCCCTCGTTTGAAGTTACATCCTGTATATACTTACCATCGTCGTTCATGAACTAAAATGGTTTTAAAAAACATGAAATACAACTTACAAATCGTAATATTAAATATNAAATTTTATCGAAAAAAAAATTATAAGAAAAAATGTCATAGGGGTTGATTATTTCAACCCCTTACAAAAATAGTTCAGGGTTGAAAAAAATTCAAAAAGTAGTTTTATTGACAGATAATGTTCACCAAGTTTGGTTTCTTTAGCTTGATGTACGTGGAAGATAAAAAAGAAAAACACTTTTTTTTTTGTAATTTTAGGAGGGGCGTAACTTTTCAGGGGAGGGTTTTTTCAAAAAATTTTATACCAAAGACCCCTATTAATATTTTCGGTGTTATTTAGATACACCCTGTATAAAAACGATTTGTTTTTACAAAATTATTTTCCATTGCAGTTTCGCTCTCTGCCACTCCATTATTTCATACAGTTGGTTTAAAAAGGCAACAAAAAGTTAATGCTGATACGGACGCGCGACAATTGGGTTCGGGTGCAGCCCAATGACGGCGTAGACAAGAACGTTAAAAATAAGTTTGATTAAAAAAATAATACATAGTTTAACTCCTAAAAAATGTTCCTCGTTTGAAGTTACATCCTGTATATACTTACCATCGTTGTTAATGAACTAAAATAGTTTTAAAAAACATTAAATACAACTTTCAAATCGTAATATTAAATATGTTACGCAAACTTAAAAAAAAAAAATGTGAAACGACCCTTCTTAACAACCTGCGAACATATCAGATCTTATTTCCTAAATGGGCAGGAAGGGTACGACACTGCTTCTCCCAAACACTCTCAAATCCCACAAATCCTGTAATGGAGCACCCTAGAAATGTTTTCAATCCTCAGTTTTCCCACTTCGGGCGAGACCGGAATCATAAACCAGAACCTCTTCGACGTGGGCGATTTTTAAGTCGATCCCCCAAGCCCAAGCGTGCCCCGACCCATCGCGTGTCCCTTTCCTAACCGGATTTGTATTTTTTGTAAAGGAAATCGCCTCGCCGCACGCATAAATTATTTGTTTTATTAAATACCCGCATTTGGAATTCAACAAATGCAAATTTGCGTAATAAATCCGTCCGAAAATTAAGTTTCCGTTTTTTTGTTGTGGTGGAATCAATGGTCGTTGTTCTGCCGGGGTTTTGTTCGTTCTGACTGCCGTTAATCAATTTGCTTTAATCGAGTTGTTAGCTACCTAAATTAAATATACAGGGTGACACATAAATTATAAGGTCAAAATAACACTACTACTTCCTATAATGTTTATCTGTTCCCACTATAGCAAATAGACTATTAATACATTGTTTTTAACCATGTCTCTTAATTGTTAATACATCAACTCCTGTATTAGCCAGTAACGTTGCCGATGTTCTTCGGAATGAGTGGCCTGTATATGTTTCAGGATGTTCTAGTTTCAAAAACTGTGCAGACTGGTTGGTTGCAACATCTACCTGCTTGATAGCGCATAAAAAAGCGTGAAATTTCAGATTTAATTTCCAATCTAATCTTGATATATTTCTTGAGAATTTCCATCTGCAATGCCTAAGACCGTCACTACCTTCATTAGCAAATAAATATGTGTTATCGTGTGCCTGAACGAGAAAATCGTTGACTTGTTCTCTTGTAAAAACGTTTGACTTGTTAGGTGTATAGCCGTCACGTTTCAGAAATGCTCTCAGCATACCCCAAATTTTGATATATCCACGTTCTGCAATAGTCTTTTGATTAAAGCCTGAAAGATGTTTAATGTTATTTAATAAACATATTGAAATCAAATCCATTATCACGTACCATGTAACTTTGATACTTTTTTTTCTCTTGTATCACAGTTTGTTCTAGGAAATGTGATTTTAAATTTAGATTATAAACTGGATGCTACATTTTGTCTTTTGTCATTGCACAACTGAATGCGTAAATGCAACGAGACTTTACCAGAGAAGCAGAGAGAAGTGCGAAAAGAATATTTTCAGTCCGCGAAAATCTATTATCTAGAGCACTCTGGCGAGTACATCGAGTTGCACATAAGGAAAACGTAAACACATGTCTATTTGTTCGAGATTACTCGGTTTGGTTTTTAAAAGTAGTCGGGTAAATTTGTACGTGCTTGGATTTCGACACGCAGTGAAGTAAATGTTGAAATTGAATTTGTTATATTCAAACAAAACACTTTTGTCGGTGTACTCGGAGGTTTTCTTAAGCGTAAATTTAATAGATATCCATAACAAAGTAAAATCAAAATGAAACTTCTACAGAAACATATTTTAGTCATTGTTGCCTTCAAGAACAAGGATTGTACGGGGTGGTTATGAACTTGGAGAATATATTTGAAAAGTAAATAAATCGAGGTTCAAAAACCCGATTGGCAGAAACATTTTTTGATACATTGATCTGGTGAAAACTTTTGGAACCTCTTCAGTTACGCATGATTTTTTAATATAGAACTTGTTGAGAACCACTGGCTTCTCTTGCCTATCCTGAACGGAAAATTATCTGTGCAGTGTTGCCGCTGTTACACAGAATTCTTAAACTCTAACTTTTTGTGTAAAAAAGAGGAAAATGCTCAATAAACAAGCAATTTTTTGGACAAAGAAATTTAAAAATATTTCTATAAAAATGTGTATGGCATCCTGTTCTGTTTCTTTTTATTCACATTGGCCAACTTATAAAGTCAAAGTTCAATTGTTCTTCATATGATTCTCGAGACATTCGTTGCGGTTTGCAGTAAACAAGTTAGTCCTTTGAAAATTACTATATTTTAGTAGGAAGTGTTTTATTTTATTACGACATATTTCTGCATCAAAGTAAGTAATTTTTAATGTACCGTAGTTAACAGTTGAATCTTTACTATGTAACGGGATGGGGAAGGCCATGACAACTTTTGTTTGACGTATTTTTTAGTAATTAACTGTTTATCATTTTACTTGTTAAGTAATTTCCTGAATAATTTTACAAATTTGTTTTTTGAAAAGTACCATACAATTTTAAATTTTGCGATACTATTTAATGTCGTGAAATGAATTTTTCAACCTTTTAAGATTTTTCTCTTAAAATCAGTTACTATAGTTAGATCTAACCCGCAATATTAAACTAAAAGATAGAGGCCTTATCCTATATAATTTTCTCGACATATAACTTGGCAAACTCACAATTCATTGGTGCGTATGCATAAATGATTACCTTTCATGGAAATAAAATGGATTTTAAAAAAGTATCGCCATGAACATTTGTAATTTTGGCTTTTTCATATCGCGCATATAAAAATACTATTTTTTTTAAATTGTGTTCTGTTCTGTGAGCGTTAATTTGCGATTTGTCCCGTTTACTTATATATATCGCTATTAAATTTTTGAAGAAAATTCCGTCTCTGATCATGACCCCTACTTTAAACAAAAAAAAAAACAGTCTGTGAGAGAGCCATCAATTCAATATTGTTTGTGTCGCAATTTGCCGTTATAGCCTGGGGATTTAGTGTAACGGTTTAGAGGAAATATCTCATCAATTGTAGATCAAAAAGCCCTCGCCCGTTTTTGATATCAGGGAGATGGTACAAGGCGAAGTGGTTAGATAAATGGGCGATTCGAAATTTAGTCGTCGATTCCCCTGTTGGAACACAACGACTTTATCATCGCCATAAGCAGTTTTCGTTGTATATTTAACGCAGACGGCAGCTGGCGGGTATATTTTCTCTGAATGATTCCGATCATTTGGACCACCGCCAGGACAGAATTTTTACGCTCCCTGTTCAATGTCGTTCGGTGTCTGATTTCAAATTATACACGGTGTTATGACAATTAGCAGTATTAAATTCGATGATTCTCCAAATATTATTGCACAGAGAAATTCAGTTTACAGACAAATTTTCATGAGTATCAAAACAAATAATTATGTTTGCAAAAAAAATCTATCTGCCTCTATCCACACGCCTTCTCCAAAGGCTTTCATCGATTCGCGGGGCCTTTTCGAATCGGCATTAAAAGGACCTCTCATAAAGTCTCCTAAATTGACATTTGGCCCAGGTGCCCATAATAAGGCCCGCCCTGCGACAAAAACGTGATATTTCTGCGGAACGCTGTGCGGCGTTTCATCGTCCTGACCTATTTCATGACCTGTTGGAGCTTTTGGCTGGATCTGATCTAGGCCATGGGGACGAGGAAAAAGAGGGAAATGCAACGTTACGCCTAGAAACGTCAGCAAATGTATTCGGCCTCCTTATGAAAGCTTTATATTTTATCTGGAGCGGGAGTAAGGATGGATGTTGGAAAAGTAGTTTGTCGACTAGTCAGGAATTGTTCCAAACTCACAGAAAATTGTTTTACATAACGACGCGATACTTCTGCAATATTTTGCGGGCATTAACCGTACATTTACAAGTTCATCATTGTTATACTATTTGTAATAACTGTCAGTGACTTAGTCTCTTATAAGGTAATCGAAAAACGCGCACCACGGCATGAAAAAAGTTAATCCAAATAATTTTAGTAAGAAAAAATACGAACAAAAAATAAAAAACGCCCAGTCTCCCTGAGACAAATTGTAAAAAGTAAAAATAAAACTAAATAACGTACTAATAATTCATTTAAACAATCACAACAGTGACTAATTCAAATGTATTCCCTTTTCCCACAACTTCCTCCAAAACCTTAGTACATCTTATTACATTTTATATTTAAAAAAAAAAGAATTCTTATCTTGGCTCCTGTTGGTCGTAGAGGGTGCTTTTTTTAAATTTGTATATTTTTGCCAGCTATCAATTGCATCTATTTTCGGTGAGGTAGCATAAATAACAACAATTTTATTCAAATTGTTTATAAACGAAAAGCGCACGGTTTTTTAATGCACAATTTGAGAATGTTAATGTCAAAAAAACGGTGATATTTTTTAATAGGTTACAGTTAGGTTACAATAGGTTACAAAGATTACAATGACGCTCTCAGAATCATGTTTGGTTGAAAATTAACGCCTGTACAGAGGCTTTAAGTTCATAACTTTTGGAGCCTCCTCTATAAACAAATTGAATTGTGCGAAAACTGTTGCACCTACAGCGCCCACTTTTGGCACACTTAAAGTATGAGAAAACCCTCAACTTGTCATAGGTTTTATAAAATTTTAACAATAAATGCGATAGTTATAAACAAATTAAAAAATGGGCACTTTTCTTGTTTTTTTGCAATAACTTTTTTGTTTATTAACCGATTTTAATTTAACAAATCTCATTTTGTAGATAATTTTACTCCCTACAAGCTGTCTAAGAATCACTTTTCGCTAAAATTGATGGTTTTCCCTGCAAAGTGAAAAAACTGTTTCCTCACTTATTTGTTTAAATAGAAAAGTTAACTAATAAAAGTTTTTGACTCACGAGACGAGAGATGTCTTGTATTATGTTCCTTTAGACAATTTTACAATAATCTCGCGGTTAGGACTTTTTTCGAGTTTCTCTATTATTTTCGCTAAGTTTCCTGGTGTAAATATCCCGACCCCGTAATAACCTCAAAAATCTCGAGTAGTATTCAAATTGATCGGGGAAAAGCAGATTTGCATGGCTAATACGATCATTAGTGTCGCCTTTTTTTGTTACATTTTTTTACTTAAAAAGACGATTTATCATACCCCGGGGCAATGTATCGGGAAAGAAGGTGGGCTCATTTAAATATATTTTAACCGATATTGATAGGTGTTGTAGGACTTTGTCATTTATCATACTCGAGGTCATTAACGCTTAACAACCATGTCGCTTAAAATGAAAATCCTTACAACCCTCTTATTATTATACAATAAAAAAAATTGAAAATGGATCGTTAGTTTGTGTCTACCCTTGTTACAGAAAAAGAACGAGATAGAGCTAATAGCCCATCGACGGGGCAACTGGTTATCCTGGGCCGGGCTGGGGCTAATGTCCGTCCAATTCGGCATCTTAGCCAGGCTGACTTGGTGGGAATACTCCTGGGATATCATGGAACCCGTCACTTACTTCGTGACGTACGGCACTGCCATGGCGTGCTACGCCTACTTCGTCCTTACGAAAGAGGTAAGTCAAAGCGTACTTAGGATGCACAATTACCACTTAACAATACTTAGCCTCACATCTTACGCGTCAGTGCCTAGTGACGTCACTACCAGTGGTACAGACTAAGACTTTATAATCCGCGATAGTAGTCATTTTAGTTCCTATTTTTGATATCCTTGTAGCGGTACGCTACAATTACATTTAGTACCTGTCCCAATTAAATCTATTTTGCTTTCCGGGAATTTACGAGCCATATAAATTATACTTTGAATTGTCCGAGATTATCCCAAATAAATGTATTTAGCAAATGAGATTTGAATAAGTAGGCTGTAAACATAAATTAGTTTTTTCTTACTAGGGTACATAAGCACAAACCGAGTAGGTAACCGGATAAGTGTTAATTAGGATAGGGTAATAAAAGTAAGTACCTGAGGACAAGGATAAAAACCGAAAACATTTCGAGACACGAAGGAAAAGTCTTGAAGCCTACTTCCTGCTCGGTTGTGTCTCGTGTTACTAGCGAAATTAGCAGAATAAAGTTTTCCATGCTACTTAGAGTTTCTCTCCTCACTTGAAGACCAAACCACTATATCCTTGATAGATGGATAGCGTTTCTAGTATAAAAACAAATTGTCACGTCTGCAATTTTACAACTGAAATCACATATACGGGGTGTTGTAATTTTGAATGGAACGGTGGAGACTACCTTTGAACTTTAGAAACACTAGTTTATTTTCTCAAATTCCGTCGTTGCGGTCTGTATACTAACTGACTTCAATAATGATTCAAACAATTTTTCTAGGATGCATAAAAATATAGTGTTCCATTTAATATTCTGAAGTTGTCCTTGGTTTCGCCTTGAAACTTAAGGTCAAAGTCACCAGCATATTGAGTTCTTGACACTCTTTTACACGATTGTTTTGTAATACATCGCGGTAGCTTAACCTATGTCGTAATCAGAAGTGGGATATGATTAAAAGAGCAATATATTTTAGGAATACGTCCTCCAAGACGTGAGGGACCGCCAACACCTCCTGATCATCCACAAGAGGTCGAAACAGCTGGGCCTCGACCTGAACCAGTACAACATGCTGAAACAGGAGGCGGCGAAGCTCCAGTACACGTTAAAAAAATTGCGCAACCCCCTGAAACCCAAACCGGGCGCGCCGTCAACGCGGACGGCCGCTCCCATCCTGGAAGCGGTACCGGTTAAGGACGCCGCCGCCGCCGCCGAGAAGACCGAGCCCAAGGCGGAGCCGAAAGGTGCGACCAAAGTTTGATGGACCGGCGCAAGTACCACGTTTTTCTTTGAATCCTCAAAATTAAATTATTTATTTATTGAATATCGATAGGGATAGTTATGTAGATGATGGCCATTGCTTTGTTTCGGCAATGGGTGTTTACCGAAGCTCAAATTTTTAATACTTAAGGATGAAGTCTCTGAGTGTGCGCGACAGGCACTCGAAACGTCGAGTTGTTTCGAAGGCGAAGGTTGAGAAGAGCTGTCGTTTATGCGCAACCCCTTTTCCTCTTGAAATTGCTTTTGAATCCTACTGCTACAATTGCAATTATTTAAATTTAAAAAATAACTATTACGAAAGCGTCGAAATTGGGAACTCGAAATTTTTTGTTGAAACTCGAAATATCGTGTTGAAATTCAATATTTCATGTTAAAAGTACGAAATTTCCCGTTTTAAATTTTAAACTGATTTCGAACACCAAATTTTAGAGTTTGAACTCGAAATTCTTTGTTATGCTCGAAATTTCATATTTAAACTTAAAATGTCGAGTTCTAACACGAAATTCCTATTCGAACTGAATGGAATTCCAAATTCCATTTAAAATTTCGAATTCAAGCACAACATTTCAATACCAAACACGAAATTTTCTGTTTCTCAAATTCTCATTGAATTCAGCTCAAAATTTCGAGTTCTAACACGAAATTTTGAGTTATACTACGAAATTCCCTTTTCGAATTAAATTTATATTCAAATTCGAAATGTCCCATTGAAATTCGAAATTTCGAGTTAGAACTGGAAATTTAAAGTTTTAATGTGACATTTCGAGTTCGAACTATATATTTCGTGTTGGAATTCGAAATATAAACTGATATTTCGAGTCTCAATATGAAATTTAATTGGAATAGAGAATTTCATATTGTTACTTGGAATTTAAATTTCGAATTTTACTGCAAAATTTCAAGTTACGTTACCAAATACCAAAAAATAATTTTCACGAAATTTTTTGTTCTTATTCGAAAATTCATATTAAAACTGAAAATTCGTGTTCAAACTCGAAATTCTTATAAAATTCGAAAATCCCTATTAAAACTCGAAATTTCGAATTCTAACCCGAAATTCTTTATTCGAACTAAATTTCTTATTGAAATAAGAAATTTAAAATTCGAACTCGAAATGATTGATACTCGAAATTTCAGTACAAATTTCAAATTCAACCGGAAAATTTTCAATTTTATCACCACAATCAATAATTTTCAAATTCGAAAGTTTTCCTGTTCAAACTCGAAAGTTCATGTTGAAATTCGAAATTCTTGTTCGAGCTATCTTGTTAAATTCGAAATTTCATATTTAAACTCGAAATATCGCGCTTCTAACACGAATTTTTTTATTCGAACTAAATTTCAGCATTGAGACTCGAAATTTTAGTTTATATTTCGAATTCTAACACGAAATTTAAGATTCGAACTCAAAAGTTATATTGAAACTAGAACCTTCGTGTTTAATTCGAAGTTTCTTCATGGAATTCAAAATTGCAGTTCATATTTCGAATTCAAACAAAATTGCAAGCTCTGTCATCAAATACCAGTAATTAATTTTTAAACACTAAATTTTCTATTCGAACTCGAAATGTCAATTTAAATTTTGAGTTCTTGCACGAAGTTTTTGTTCTAACGAAATTTAAAGTTCGGAATGTCACACTGAAAACCGAAATTTTGGTTCAAATTTCGAATTCAAGCACGAAATTTTCAGTTTTAAAACGAAATACCAATAAATAATTCGAAATTTCAGTTCGAATTTTGATTCGGGCATGAAATTTCAAATTTGCACTCAAAATTTGATAAGAAATGAATGGCCGTTCTACGCTTTCTTAATAAAAGAAACCCTAACCTTACTTTTTTTACAAGCAGCCATTTTTATTGCTACAACAAGCATTTGCTACTAAGAAATTTATAAAACACATCACCATTTAGTTTTTAAATCTTAAATTTCTTGCCTTTATACCAGCTGTGAATCAGAATATTGGATTAGGTATGTTAATCGGTGAAAAATGAAAAAAAAAAATAAGATTTTAACGTTTTTGTATATGTGAAAATGAAAGAACTGTGTGAATACGAAGTTCCGACACCACCAAGGATATCGAGTAACTATATATTAATTAGGAGCAAATAGATATTTAAATTAAATAAATGCTTAATAAGACCAAATAAACGTTTTAGATTATATAAAATAATTGTGAATATTCAGAGCAACGCAAGCAGGGACTCCTCGATTATAGAAAATGTTTTCACTTAATAAGAACAAATTACGAGAAGTACCAATTGTTGATACCAATTTTTCAGTAAGCCTGAGTTTCGATTTTAAAGAACTCGTATTTAGATTTTTTATATTAACCTCATACTATCAAATCATGTACCCATTTTTGTGATATCCTCGATCGATCAATGGATGTGACTGATGAGTTTCCTTCATTAAATTGTTAAGTAAATCACCTTTAGAATTTTAAATCCTCGAAATATATGCTTAAGCTTCCTTATACATGTAAATACATAGAAATTTCAGCACAAAATCCGTCCTGTAAGCTTCTTAACGAATATTAAATTGTTATTTTCAATTGGCCTTAAAATTTGTAAATCCCGAGTTTTTACATTAATTTCCTGGTGCAGTTTGCGGTTACCCTTAGGGAGAGTGTTAATTGCACGAGAGGTTCAGAAAATAATACCTGAAATCTAGTTATTTTTATTTAGCCGGGATTGTCATTTGTTTTTCTTTTGTTGCTACTAAGTTTATAATAATAGTGCAGTTGTTAGAATTTACTTTCAAATCTTTGCAGTGGATATAAACTGCACCGTGTTACATAATATCGCGTTCACCGAAAAGACATTATCAGATCGTGTTGTTAACCAAAAAAATATATCTGAAGTTTAAAATACTGTTTTATTACACTCACAAACGATTGTTCAAATAAATCTTTATTGGTTCGATTATAAAATAATTCTCATGTGTGCAGTTCGTTCCCACTCTCACTCAATTTTCGGACGAATACCATTTGCACCAATAAAATATTTTTAATTAAATTTTAGCTTTAATATTTTATACTTAACCCATATATTATTCTAGTTGGGCGTTTAGTTAAATTTCGATAGATATTACGAGGGTTAGTTCCTAGAGTAAATATTGCACTCTCGCACCTGTAAAATTGAGCACATTTTCGCTGTGATTCGACGCTGTTTCTTACGTAACGTAAAAACAATCATTTTTGCATGTTTCAAAGCTTTAATATAAAATATACCTGTCAGTAAAAAAACGCTGCCCCGGAAAATCCACGGAGACGTGTAAATAGTCCTAGTATGTCGTCCTGTGGGACTTCAGGCCAGCACAATGCTTTTGGATTCAAACTTTATATTTCTCTTCTACTACGTATAGTGCCAACTGGAGATAGAGCATACTCTGAAATTTTTTATAAACTGAAATACTGAAAGGCGTTTGAGATTTCTCCCTCCTCCCCTTCCAAGTTCGTAGATCTGTAAGGTTATTCGTTATACTTTCTCTTTTTATATTTTTCTGCGTGTAGTAGGTACTGTTATAGACAAAGTATAGTTGGTCATTTTTTTTCTCTAAAATTTCATTAACTGACTTAGCTTTAACAACGGCTTCGAGCTAAACTCATTTAAAAGTTTGGGAACTGCTTCTTATCCTCCACAAAACCCTTCCATGATAAATTAAGTTCTGAGTTATTATGCGAAAGTTTGGAGTTACAACTTCTTGTGTGGTTATCCAAATGAGCTTATAATAACCCACTAAAACTGTGAACGTGTTAAAGTTCCTAAAAACCCTGCTAGTAAATTAGAAGCGTGTCTATGGGTTTATTGCATTATAAATAGAAAAAATTAATGATAAACTATACTTTTTCAAAATAAAATATGTTTTGTAAGGCATCCTTTCATATAATTTTAATTTTTGTTGTTGCGGTTGTTAAAAAATGGAATATTGATACAATTGTCACTGTTACACAATGGTTACACAGCCACAAAAAAAAAGTCTGTACTCTTCATGCGGCATATGTTATCCGTAATATTTTTCGCTCCTGATCACAAATCCGGTGTCAGAATTGAGCTATCACATCACAGAAATTTCCTAACTTCAAAAAATAGGTCAAAAATAGCAAAAATTCACGAACAAGTGCTAGGAAACATGCTAAAAAGTTTTTTTCTATATTCAAATGTTCATTTATATTATTAAGACCTCGCCGAACGTGGTCAAAATTGATGGTTCGTTTTCTAATCTCAAAAAAACAGGTCAATTGTGGTCAGATATCACGAATTTTCAAAAAATAACAGATTCGCGCCAAATTTGGTATAAGGAGGTTTTCGGTGTCACTGATCACGAATCCGAGATTTACAAACTTCGTTATTAAAAATTTAATCAATTACCTATGTAATTTAAAAAGGTTAAAATATGATTGGGTACTCCGGTTATAAAGTAAACAAAATTATTACAAAATGAATTTCGCAATTCTGACCTCGAATTCGCAATCAGCGACCCCGAAAACCCCCGTATTCCAAATTTGACGCGAATGTGTTATTTTTTTTAAATTTGGTCGGCCATCTTGGATCCGCCATCTCGAATTTTGCAAAATTGATCTCTGATCCGTGATCAGCGATCCCGAAAACCCCCGTATACCTAATTTTGCGCGAATCTGTTTCGTGATATCTGACCTTAATTGACCTGTTTTTTTTTGAGGTTAGAAAAATAACCATCAATTTTGACCGAGGATTAAAAAAAAATTTGTATTTTTCCTAGCACTTTTTCGTGAATTTTTGCTATTTTTGACCTGTTCTTTGAGGTTAGAAAATTCCTGTGATGTGATAGCTCAATTCTGACACCTGATTAGTGATCAGGAGGCAAAAATACTGCGGATAACATATGTCGCAAGAAAAGTACAGACAACTTTTTTTGTGTGTGGCTGTGTTAATTAAAAAAACTTTATTTACATCAAAAGAAAATATGTGTTTAAATTTAAGAAAATGATAATTTTGTGTATACATATACATATTTAAATGATATTTTTTTATTAAGTAAAATCTCAGTGATTGAGTATCTGTGTTAAATTCGATCTATCAATTCGCCAAAGTATGCGAAGATATTTTAATTATTAGTGTGCCTTTTTCATGAGCTTTTGCTCTACTGTTTCAATTTTTTTAGATGAAACTCTACGAGTAATAAAATGGTTCGTATTTGGGGCTTGTTGGTACTACAGAAGTTATTTTGATTTCACTTTCACTACATATACACAGTTATAGTAAAGATACTGTTTTGAAACACCTTTAATTTGTAATGTTCCGCATTTGTTTTTTGTAAACGTTCTTACTCTCGTAATATTACAGTTTATAAACAAATCGGTACGGTTATAGAACGAGAGTTGCCGTCGAAGATATTTAAAAATCCCGCCGGACTCGCAGATCCACAGAACGGAGAATAATCTACTATTCAATATGGCGACTTGTTCAAGGTCATGTTCCTTTATTCCCTTAAAACCTATCTATAAAAAGTTCAGGTCCTCTCTGGTTTGTTTTAATTCTGTGGTAATAGATCACCAACAACTAAAATAAAAATCTTTAAAATATCAATATAATTTCTGCTAGTGCTCTTGCCCAAAAAAAAATACATATACATTTGTTTTCTCTTCATATATTCGTGTAATTTTTCGAGTTTTCATCGGTGTGTTGTAATTTATATACTTTAAAACATATGTTTGTGACATTGTAACTTATTGTGTAAATTGTTTGTAAATAAAGATATTAAAGTAAATTATATTACCTACATTGTAATATAAATATACATTTGTTGCCATGATGTAGTTTCTTTGACAACCAATCAATTTGCAACACGCGCCATTATTCCATGGCTAGAAATTGGCCTCAATGATTTGGGATCGAGGGGGATTATCCCTCTTTATCCTGCCTCATCTCGTGTAGGCCTGGACAGCCTTCGTAGGTGGGCCCCATCCGTCGTCTACCCCGACCGCAAATGCGGCCGGTGTAGGCGTTTTGTGGTACCTCCTTTTGTCCTGGCTGGGCCCCGCCGGCTAGGGCCCTTTCTTCTGGTAACGTTAACCCGCAGTGTCTCCCTTCACATGCACTGTGGTTGCCTACAATTCATGCATTTGTAATACATGAAACTGGCGTCAAAAGTATTAAAATGCATTTTGAAAAACTAACTCGACCATTTATCTGATTAAAAAAAAAGAACTTCAGATTCGTATTCAGGGAAACAAGTACTAATACCCCTAAAAAACTGACTCCCCCACTTAAAATTACACCCTGTATAACAAATTATTGCGAAAGGTTTATCATTAATTTGAAATTGGTTTTCAACACAACTCCATGGTTTGTTTATTTGCTTTCTTAAGTACAAAATATTTCCGCTAGAGGGCGAGATCCTTGACGTGAATTGGGGATTATGTTGTAATCTAGTTAGTCATGTGATCTGTCTTATTTACACTGTCATATTGACGTTAGGAGAGATGAATGAAAATTTCGATCCCGAACGCGATTATTATGAGGTTTTTAAAGCAGAATTTTCAAGGTCTCGCGACAGTGAAGGGCATACCCTTATGCCATATCTTGTGCTCAAATGCGTCTTAGGTAAGCTGTATGTCATTAACAATTTCATGGTTTCATTGAAGTGTGTATGAACATTTAGCAGTCTAAGGGGTTCATGAATTTCTTCCTTTCCAATGTCCCACGTTTTTCGAATGTAATATGGTGTCTCTACGCGCATGTGATGACGTCACTTGAGAGAAACACTGACGAACATGTAACTTTACGTCGGTTTTTTTATAATTTTATTATGCAAAGCAGGAAAAACCTTTGTAAAATAAATTCGTTTTAACAAAAGTCTTTTACATAATATTTACTTTGGATTTTGTCCGTCACTCTCTTCATATCCGAGACACTGTTGGTGTTTGACGATTCCGAAGGTATTTCAACTGATTCAAGAAGCAAAATATCGCCTGGAATAACAAGATCAGTAAGAATTAGTAACTGGCATTTTTACAACCTTTTTTAGCTTTTGCGTCGAGAGTTGGTTTCATTTTCATTCACGTAGGCAGCATACCCGTGGAAAACGTGTACTCGATAGTAGTCTATAACCTCTTGGAGATCTCTGTAGGAATTCTTTCGTACGGCTTAATAGGCAATCTGATAGCTTTCCGCACTAGCACAGCAGAGGGTTGGATTAGTCTTGGCAAGTGGAAATGGGACGATGTCTCTTCGATGACTCAAGATTCAAATCTTTCCCTGATAGGTGGTATCCCTACAACAAATGTTTTTCTTAAAAAAACTGTCCATTATGATATATTTTTAAGGTTTCTGCAGCATTCTGCTTGCAACAGCCCAAATGTCCTCATTTCTCGTCGGGAGAACTAAACTGGTTGGTGGAATGTTATTGACGGCGTTCTACAGTGGCATATTCCAACCTTTCTTGATGCACTGGATCTGGCACGAGAGTGGGTGGATGAGACTCTCCAAATTTTTAAACGTCGATGTGTCAGTGCAAGATCATGCTGGTGTCCTCGCGCTTCATATCCCCAGCGTTATTCTCGGAACGACAGGTAAACGAAATCTGGTGGACATTGAAGTAAAATTCGCCATGAATTTTCGTTTATCTTGAAAAACATTTGTTGATAGGTTCACTCTTTCTGGGCAGAAGAATTTTAAAGCTGAGAGAAATAGACGGATTAAGTTTTGGTACCGAACACGTAATAATTACTGTAATCGGATATCTTCTAATTATCTTCAACTATATCATATTTGCACTGCCGATGTACGAAGTGAATAATGAAAACGTCGCACTCATTGTCATCAATGGTTTTTTAGCTGTTGGAGCAGGTAAAACTAAACTATATTGTTGAAATAGCATATTTACAAAATTTTATAGGCATTTTTACTGTGACTATCTTCCAATGCATCATCTTCCGTGACATTTCCCACCACAGGAGGATAATTAGAAGCGTCCAAGGAGGCGTAGCAGGATTAATATCAATCGCAGCTGCTATCAACCTTTATACCCCCTCAGTTACGATTATGATATCAATAATTACGTCCATCGTTTTCTTTTTCTTCGCAGAACTGATACATAACACTGCCCTTGAAGACCCTTGCAGTTTTGTTTCGTCTCATTTGATATGCGGATTTATAGGTGTAATGGTGTGTCCACTAGCGGCACAAAAGGAAAATTTTGGATACACGGCAAGGATAGAGATACTTGGGGTGCACCTGCTCTGGCAGTTTATCTGTACCTGCGCAGTTATTGGCATGAGTGTTGTTGTCGCGTTATTCCTATTCCTGCTATTATTGGTTTCACGGATTTTGAAGAATCGTTTCGAAATTGCAAACCACAAAAGGGCTGCCGTTCTCCGTGATGCTCTCACCAAGAGGGCATACCTTGAAAGGCTGTTTAGTATAAACAGTACAACCGATTATGTAGTGCCAGGGTATTGGAAATCATTCTTTGATACGGATAAAGCTGCTGATAAGGGGAAAAGAGCTTGTGTGAACAATATTATTCTTTCTGATGGTGATAAATTGAGAGGAAATGAAATTTCGCAAGGAGAGAACAATACAGGATTTAATGCTACGGTGGTGCAGGTTACGTCGGGGCAAGTACCTGCAAATGTGAATGCAAACTGGCTAATGTACGGTTCTGGAGATTACAACCCTGACATGCAAAGAAAAAACGTAGCTAATTTTAAAAATCCGACAGATGTCCGATTACCGCGGCACCTTATGGAAAAGATATGAGATTCAAATTTCCGCGATTTTTATATGTATATTTAGTGAGAAATTATTTTCAATTTAAATAATATTGTATATTTTTACTGTTTAGACCCTTAACAGTATATTGTTATTAAGAAATTACTTATATTCATATTAACAATTTTTATTATTTTTTGAATATACAATATAAATCAAGTTGCTTTGTTTGCCTTTAAAATTACATGAGAGAAATTAACAAGCAAGTTAGATCATATCGGCTTTGAAATACTAGCCTCATTTAACTTATAAGCTTTATAACCTAATCTGTGAAATTGTTTACTTCATTGCCATGACAAACCGTAAGTCCCTAGATTGACCAAGTACCGACCGCAATTTGTTCTTGTTTGCCTCAAAATGGCGGTTTGACATATTTCAATTTGTGCTATGGTTGGAACACACCCCATAGTTGGATAGAGATGGGCAAAATGACTCTTTTCGGAGATTCGTATCATACGACTCCATTAAGAATGGGGAGTCGTACTGAAATATTCGTATGTTTCGTATCGCTACTCCTGGGCTGTACAAGTGCGTGATACATCGTGTCACTGATACAAAATACAAATACGAATAATACGATACGTAAGCATACGCTAACTGGTTTACTGGTCTTAGCTCCCATTTCTCGTTTAGTGTGATAAAAGTATAAAAAAACTTTCCGGTATAAACAACAGTAAAATTATAAAATGTTTTTTATTTTAATATATAAAATATACAAGAAATGTTTAACTAAAAAATATTTTCTACTAGAAATAAATATTTATGTTATTTAAAATAAATAAATAAAAAATTAAAAAAAAAACTAAATCTTTGGTACTTTCTTAATAAAAATTGTAAAGCATATAGGTATACCGGATAATAAAAACAATTTTGAAATATTAACATAATTAGAGTTAAAATTTATAAATAATAACTGTGAAACTTATTTCGACTTAACCTGGTACGTCTTTCATTAATAGTTTGCCCACATTTTGAAAAAATTCTCTCTGATGGGACCGATGTAGCTACAACGCAACAGAGGTTCGTGTTCGTATTGGATAGTGTTCTTCTGTTATTCTAGGAAGGATTATTTAAGGTGGCCATATTCCTGGCCGAGAAATAGTGAAATTTCTGGCGTTTTTAGGTACTGAAATCTTTAAAAGTAAAATGTGTAGAACAAAAGTAAGCACAAAAATAAAATCCTTGATGTTTTGTTTATTCATTGTTACCATTTAAATTTACTCAAATAAAATAATAACTAAAAAAAAGCGTTTGTAAAACATGCGTTTGCTGTTATTCTAACCCCACATTTTAAGAATTATTTTCACGTACTTATAAATAAAAGTAAACAATTTTATATGTAGGACTAAGCAAGTAAATGTTATAAGAATATTTACATGTGGAGCTATATCTAAAAAAGTTAGTATTTTCGTAGATTTCAGTACCTAAAAACCTTGATGGTTTGATCGTTTTTTGCACCTGTTTATTCGTTTTACTGCGGCGTCTTTGAAAATACTTAGGTGGCATGACATAACATTCCTATTATTTGATAAGCTTTAGATTATTCAGTTATTAAATGTTTGTCTTAAATTATTTGTCTTTGCGGAAAACACTATTTAAAGAATATGGGGCCCTTAAGAGCTTTTTCGATATAATTATATCGAAAGTGAACGATAACTGACGAGCGCGCGCACCGAATCGGCTGTACGAATTTTAAACGTGAAGCTTGTGTTAAATAATACGAGATTTGAACATAACGGAATCCTTCTTAGCTCTTAACCCGTACTTATCGTACCGTACGCGTACCATACCGTATTTAATACTAGCACACTGCGCACCTGCGTACGGAGTCTTTGCATTACCAGCTGTCTAGTTCTAGTATCCAGTACGAGTACGAAATACGAAAGTTTCGTTCCATTTGAGAGTCGTATCATCTGACTCCCAACAAAGATTCGTATCGTTTATACGAATCATACGGATACTACCCATCTCTAGTTGGAACATTTTCACTATTCTAATTTCATTAGTCAGTGATCAACTGATCAATGGCCATTGGCCATGCAACAATAAAATGACCACATACTTCTATCTTCTATAGAAGTATGTGGTAATAATCAGTATAGGATAGAAGTATGTGAAAATGACGAAAACATTGATAAGTGATGAACGCTCTACGATCTGTTATTAGTTCTTTTCTTAGTTCATTCGTTATTTATATGAATATTATGATTGTACGTTTATGGAATGTATGAATTAAGTCAATATCCATTTCGTTGACATTTTGCAGTATACATAAATCGTTTTATATAAAATTATTAAGATATCTAACAAGAGTGTTCTAGTATTATCTTTGTCTCTATACAACTTAGTAATAAAATAAAATTACAAACAAAGCGGAATAGTCTTATTAACTGAATAATATTCGTAAAAAGTGGACAATGCCTTAAAATAACTAAGAATTTAAGTAAGTAAACATAACCCCAAATAATGCAGTTGTCATTTATGCATTTTGTTTTTCAGCATCTAAAAACTTGCAGTGTTTACATACATAATTTAGCCACAAAATGAGCGAACGAAAATCCGAAGACTATCACTCAGTCGACTTAACGGAAGATGAAGACAGTTCCGAAGAAAATTCTGAACTTGAAAGCCCCTTCCATTTCGTGGATTGTTCGACCAGTTTAAATGATTCTACATCTACCGCCTCTGAGCTTAATCCAGCTATCAGTCTTACTGAGGTTTCTTCATCCACAGAAACCTCAAAACAAACGATCCTGATGAAAGCTTTATCAAAGTTTCCAAAGTCTGAAAGTGTTCAAAGCGCTTTAAATAAAAAAGTGCGACAATTTTCTTCAATTCAAATTAAACCCCCTTCAAAAGCAGTGCAAGATACTCAGAATATTCTAGACGGAGACACCTTACAGCAACTTGAAACTGTTTCTCTTGATTCCGATAACGAATCAGAATCCGTTAACCAATTGTCTAGTACCTCTACCTTACTGCGTAAACCCCACTTTCACAAACGAACAACGGAGATAACATTACCAGAAAACGACACCATTTATTCGCTGAAACAACCGCCAGGGAAGGTTGTTATAATCAAGAAGAACAATAAGTACTACAAGATTATTATCCCGCACAATGTAATGCCAAACATAAGCAAATCCATGGGTCCGGTATTAATAAACATACCCGAAGTTGGCCCTTTGGTGATAAGCAACGATCCTCAGTCGAATAAAACAAAGTCCAGTCAATGCAAGACCCAGCAGTTGTCTTTAAATTTAGACGCGTTGGACCAAAATCCTGATTGTGAATCTTTAATTGCTAGAAAAATGAAAGAGCAAGCATTGAGAGACAAGAAATTTTGTTGGACGTTCAATAGTACTAGAAAACGGGACCTGGATGGTTTTACTGCTTCCGACAGACTTGGTTTCAACAAAACTGAAGCGAAAAGGGCTAGAATGTGTGAAAAGGCGATCAATACTGTGTTATCCAAATTTCGTGTGAGCTTAATAAACAAAATAGACGAGTACGAGAAGTTTAATAAAGCGCTTCTGAGAAGGGACAAAATCAAACTGGTGAAGATTAACTCTATCATTCGGGCTAATGAAGAAACCAAAAAGAAAAGGAGTAAATCAAACAAATGTGAATCTGACGTGCCTAAAAAACAGGAAACGTCAAATTCGCTGCAGTCAAACTTTGTAGATAACTTTATGAAAATGGACGATTACGATTCGGATTTACTAGTAACGAAAAAGGTAGTAATTCTGAACAGCAGAAACAAGGAAGTAGAACTTAAACGGCCTACGAACGAAGGGTCGGCTAAGAAAATGGCCAGTGTGAGGCGGAAAAGTGTTAAAGAGGTATCAAAGGTATTAAAAGACAATAACCGAAAAAAGTACTCACACTTTAAAATAAAACCCTGTTATGTGCAAATATCCAAAGATAAACGAGTGGAGGAAGCATATATAAAATATTGTAAAGAAAAAGGTCTCGCTGTGAAGCGAAAACAGAAACCTAATGATTTCCCACCTAAAGTTGACAAACATCCTGGTCAAATGGTTAATCCTACAAAGCATATTGCCTTAGCAAGCCATGAGTATTCCAAACGAAACTCGCTGTTCGAAAAAAAGAACATGCTACTACGCAAAACCATTTATACTGAAGAAAAATTGGAGACGGAAATGAACACCCTCAAACCATTTTTGGTTATGACGGAACAGACTGTCACAAGTAACAGAAACCTTGAATACTACTGCAACGAATTCAGTAAAAATAACATTATTTTTGTGACGAATTCCATTAATAAATTTCCTTTCAACATTCTACAGGACGAAGGTTTCATTTCGGCAGTAGAAATCGGTTACATTAAATTAGTTGAGGCGAGTTTGTTTGGTAAATATGCTACGAAGGGCATGACATTTCAAAGGACTGAAATCGACGGCCGTCGCGCCGAACACAACTACTCTTTGACTAAAAAATAAACTTTTACTGTTCGAAACTAAGCAGTGTTCTACCAGTGGTCCAGTTGGAACTAAACTAAGAATCTTAAAAGGTTAAACGTTTCAAGTACAGTGTCTCAATTTATAATTGCATGTTGTAACCTAGAACTGATTATTGACCACCATTTACACCAAAACAAAGGAGCAAATAGGAAACCCAGAGCAAGAATGATAAATATGTGACTTAAAATTCCATCTTGGTAAGTTTATCTCTTCATGACATTGAAATAATTTTTCCCAATTTCACATATTTTTGTAAGGTTTTCATGTTTCTCAACAACTTTTATATGACTTCCCATTCGAAAGATGTAAGAAGATATGTATAGAGATAGTGGATCAAGTCTGTTACTGATTTTTGTCAACGTTGCCATGGAAAACAAAATATTTTCAATGTTAGTCAGTGCAGACTTAATCTGCTAGTGTTTAATTTGTCTACAGATATTGTCATATCTTTTGAAAGAAAAGATCTATCGAAAAACTTTTTTAATTAAAGTTGTTGAGAATAAAGTCAACTTTCAGATGAAGCTTTTTCCGTTTCCTTGCAATGGCAGCCAATTTATTAGCTCTGAGTTTCTGTGCATGCCGATAACACGGGAAATAGAAAACAAATGAAACAAATATTTTTTTAACAAATCAGCCTTAAGAATGCTATGAAGTATCATTTTTTAACCTTGTTTTCATTTTTTTATGAAAATTAAATATTTTTGTAAACTTTTAAAATTGACATTTGTTCAAAATTTTTAAAGCGTAGAATGAAGGTTAAAAAAATTCTTGCAATTTTGACGATCATGTGTTTTTTACTTACCTACTATGTTAACAGTCTGTACATGTATAAAGCTGGAGACCTGTATACTCCTTTTTTGTTATTATGTTTTGGAAAAACCTGCTCTGGATACGTTTTCCATTGTTTTAATAATTTTTTTCTTCACAATTTAAAAACGTACTTATCAATTTTTTAGATATATGCCTGTATTAGGAATCGCTGTTATTATTATTCTTATTTGCTCGTTAAAATAATAAAATTGCTTTTATTTTGAATTAAAACAATGGCAAATGTTATTTGGAGGCAGAAGCAAATGCAAATATGAAAAGGTAGTGGTAATAATAACATTGATAACTACCAGGACTGAATCGTGCATATTTGTTTGTTATTTTATTACTGTTTCTTTATAAAATTACTCGTTCAATGCTGTTGATATTTTATGTGACAGTTAACGATTTAGCTATAAGGCCAGCGTCCAGTATCTGTTTTTTTTTTTTGTAAATAAGACTATTTAGTTGTCACGTCTATTTTGTTGAAAGAAATATTTTTAATTTTTGGGCATATTTGACACTTTGTGATCCCGTGTAAGTAAGGCCTTTACGTAAATTTTTGTTAAGTAACTACTAACTTTAAGCAAATATTTTAATAGTAACGTATTTGTTATGAATAGTACTTTTGGGTTTATTAGCTGTAAGGTCAATGAAAGTAGGTTATTTGAATGTATGGTTTTAAGTGTTATAAGTTTATTGAAGTTTTACATTATCGTTGTGTAAAAATAAGAATTACATACGTTATAAGGGGTAAAAACTGGTAAAATATCAGTTGGTCTGGAAGGAGTTTTTAAAAAATGCTTTATTCAGTTTAAGCATTGCAATTATTATGTAAAAAGGATTTTCACACAAAATTTTACGTTTTTACCCTCGGCATCTACAAATAAATGTGTAACTTATAGTTTTTTACTGAATATGTACATAAAATATATTTATCTAGGGTTTTCGTTCTCGTATAATCACTTTGTTTCCTATGTTTTTCTTATATGAATATTTATTTATATTTTTTTCAGCTCTGTATACACTTTAAGAGGGTAATATAAATGTGTAGTTATAAAGCTTACTTATGCCTACCCATTATGAATTTTAAATTACCGATTTTTTTATTTGTTATAATTGCATAAAATACTAAAATTCCCAAGAGCAACATATTCGTTACAACGAAAGCAGCTCATTCTTTTCTTCCTTTTGCTGACCATTTCCTCCAATTGGTTGATCCCTCTCTTACCCCTACCAAGCAAAAAATCCTTAGAATCCTTTGTTGGCATTACTGAATGGCACTCAAGCATGGAGCGTCGTTTCGTAGATTAGTGAGGATTAGAATATTTAAAAATTGTCTAAATTGGTCCTTAAAAATGACCAATTTTATAAAAGTCGGAAGGTTTTCAGCCAATTTTTTGTAAATGGAAAATTTATTTGTCGACCAGTTTCGCTAGTAAATTATTTTTGACTAATGTCATATACTGCTTTGGATGTAAGTGAAATAAGCGAATAAATGGCGATATTTGCACACACCATTAATGCAATTGCTCAAAATTGACAAAATTTTGCATTTTTAGAAGTAGTTAATGGCCTTAACTCGCATTCACAAGTAAAATTTTATAAACAGATGAGAAATGCTCGTTCAATTACTCCTGTCCATTTTGTAAAAATGATTTGTGAACATACATGAACAAAAATGGACAATTTTCGTCTTTTTTTTTCTAGATAGCGAGAACTTTGGTCGATTTTTAGGCCTTAAAAAATTTAAATTGAGAAAAACAGTTGATCAATTAAACAAATACAGGGAAACTTATCTAAAAAAATTTTTTGAATGTACAGGGAACTTACAAATACAATTTTGTAAAAAAAATCAAAAAGTGCAATTCCAAAATGATTTAAAATTACACTTATGCACGGCACTAGAAACTGGTCCACTGTAAAACCTGACCTTGCCCAAGGTGAAGCATTCAGTCGGCAACCGATACGGCGGAAAGTGTAATAGAAAACGAACGGACAAAAATTGAAAGAAATAAATAAAATTTTATAATCTATTTTATATCAAATTCAACTGCTTTTGCCGCTATTGTTTTTATGAATTAATATGATTAATTAGTGGTTTTAATTAATAAAATAATTTGACAAACCTGACCGTTCCAAATTTTGTCCACCGACGTGTAAACACATTTGGGCCCGTCTTACCCAGTTTCTACGAACTAACACAAATGTTGTCTTCAGGGTTCATAGTTCAAAAGTAATAAAGAATTCCCTGACATTTCCAGGTTTTCCCTGACTTATAAAAAAAAACAGGTCACTTGTAGTTCATTTTTACATACTAATTGGTGTTTATGCATTAAATTTTTTTTCGACTGGATCTTTTTCATACCATAACAACCTCTTATTAAGGTTTCAAAACCACAAATAGTTTTCTCTTTCAAGAACCGGCTTTCACAAAATTTCCAGTTGCAAACATCAAATTCCCTGACTTTCATGAATATTTTTAAAATTCCCTGACTATTTCCTGTTTTTTATGAAGAATAACAAATTCCCCGACTTTTCCGGGTATTCCCGGTTTTCCCGGCCACTACGAACCCTGTGTCTTGCTTCACCATAACAAATAATGTTGTCTTGCTTCATAAATTAAAACGATATCCACAAACTCCGACTTGCTATACATGTAAGCCATTTTTGACACTTGAAAAACTAATGTAAACACTATCGCATAATATTAAAATCGGATTTCAGTATTTGGAATTGCCTGGGCCCTCGTAGGCAAATGACACAAGACTGCAGTAGCCCAGCAAAGTAAAGGTTGAAAACACTACATCAATAATTTTTTTCTCGCAAAACAAAATTATTTTTTTTACAATATTGACTTTATTTTTCATGACGCATCTATTCCCAAATTTCTTTGGATAAGTTGTGAATCACCCTGTATAGTCGAAAAATCCATTATTTAAAACAAAATATACTTAAATAGAAACTTTAAGTAGATGAGAAGTACAATTTTTCCGTTTTAAATTACCATTTTTTAAACGATGCCATTTATATGATTTTACTACACTTTTCTTTAATGAAATACACAGAAAACGTACAGTATTTATTCTGTTTTTCCTGGACACATTTACAATATTTTAAATAATTATTAGAATGACAAAAGTAAGCAAAGTAAGGAAAATTGTCTCAAAACGGTAGAGTGGAGAAAAGCATTTTCTAAAAATAAAAAATATGTGAAATTCTTATGAAAATGTAATAATTTAATTAATTTAATAGTTTCTAAAACATGGAGAAATGCCTTGAAAAATCAGTTATGTATCAAGGGTGCAAATTTTTAAGTTATTTTATTAATTTTTACACGGTTCATAATATAAAACAAGTTTTAATAAAAATTGACACACCTAAACTATTACGATACATTTAGTTTAATCTTATCTTTGCTCTTAGCATGAAACTTCAATCCCAACTTGTACCGTACTTCCTCCATATTCCTTTCAGATATATCTACAGCTTTTTCGCTTCCTTTCCTCAATACGTCTAACAAATACTGCTGTTCCGACAGGTAGTACAATATTTTTTCCCGGATTGGGTTAATATACGAAACAACCGCATCGGCTACCACCATTTTATACCTAAAACATTATTAAGACAAGAAATTAAAGAATGGGAGAAGAACTATTTAAATTTGTGTCAAAAATATATTAAAACTTACTGTCCAGTGCTTAAGCCTTTTGCTTCCTCACATATTTCATCCACAGTTTTACTTGTAATAAACGAATGTATACTGATAAGATTAGAAACCCCGGGTCGTTCCTCTAGGTCATATGTAACCTAAAGAGATACAAAACTCGTTGAATAATAAGAGAAAATAAATAAACGTTACCTCAGAAGTAAAATCTGTCACTGCTTTCTTTATATTTCTCACTATATCATCAGGTTTATCCGTCAAGCATATCCTACTCTTTGGATCAGAATCTGATTTCGACATTTTCTTGTCGGGATCTCTGAGACTCCTTAATCGAGCGTACTTGGTACCTAAAAGTATCTTCACATCTTTTCGTTCAGATTAAAACAATATTTTACCTGTCACGATTGAGTGTGGAACAGGAAACGTATCGCCAAATCGGTTATTGAACATCCTCGCCAATTCCTGAGCAAGTTGGATCTGTTGCACTTGATCCTCTCCTACAGGGACATGAGTTGCCCTTAAAATGGCGATAAATCACAGTAATTTACGAAAAAGTGGTTTAACCTGTAAATAACTTCTTTAGCACTAAGTTATACTCACTTATAAAGAAGAATATCGGCAGTTTGTAGCACAGGATACACAAACAGTCCAAGAGGTATATCTTTCATATCCCTGGATTTTTCTTTGTATTGAGGAAGGTGCCCTAGCCTAAAATAAAAACCTATATACAGTAAAATTATCACTAACTCCATCCTCTTACCTAGCCATTGTTGAAACACATCCTAAACACCAACAAAGTTCAGTGTGTGCAGGCACCGCCGATTGCTGGAACAAAATAACCTTTTCTGGATCTATTCCGCAAGCCAAAAGGGTGGCCGTTATTTGCATGACATTCTCAGATAACTTTTTCGGTTCCTAAAATAGTCCTGTAAATTAACGTAATAACCACAGCACGTTGTTCAAAATTAGGTCTTACATGTGGTATCGTCATTGCATGCAGATCGACTATGCTCAGTATCATATCTTCGTTTTGTTGCTGAAATTTTACCCATTGCGCTATGGCTCCTAAGTAGTTTCCTAAATGTATAGCTCCTGTTGGTTGGATACCTGAAAATATTCTTCTGGGGTGCAGTTCTGCTTTTGTGACCTGAAAATTATTGACAATTTATATTTGATCGAGGAGCACATGCTGAAAACTTACGTTAGAGGTAACAGTGGAGAATAATTTACAGGGAACGGCGTGTTTTAAACCTTTTCTTAAAATATTCCTAGTTAACATGTCGAAAATTTTAATTTTAAGGTTAGATCTCTTTAACTAATGAGAATTTGTACTGATGCAAACATGTGGTCAAATTATATAATTATTGTTCAATAGAATAATACTATCCTAATAATGTATCAGTATACAAATGATATATGATCTGTGGTTATCAGCGACCCAAAAACTCGAGGTAATAAAATTCAGGCAAAAATATTGAATAGAAAAATGTGTACTTATAAAGGGTAACTATAACAATATATTTGTGATTCAATCAACAAAGTGATCTTTTGAGACAAAGATGGTTAGGGTTAAGCTGTTTTTGATCTAATGAGAACTGTATGTACAACTTCAAATTCTTAATAGTTCAAAGCGAATTAATGATTCAAATTTAAAAATCCATAAAAGTACAAAATTGTAGTTTACTTTAATGTAATAACAATGTGACTAATGTGTGAGATTATTAACGCACAAAATACATAAAAGTTAAGTTAGTAATGATAATTATCATCAAATAGTACATAATACAAAATATTTTATTTAATTTTACCTACCTGCCTCTTTTTGTATGGTTTCATTTTGGCATTTATTTTTTGGGGCGGGTGAAATAAAACACGATGCTAAAAGTCAATATGACTAAGGGAAGAATGTAGTCGGCCCTTTTGTTTATTTTAATTGAAAATATAAAGTGATAGACACATCGTATTTAGTACACAATATTATCGGTTCCATATAAATCTAGAAATTTTGTTTATAATGCTCATATCATACAAATATGTTTGCACAAATTACAAACACTACTTCACTTATAAAGATGAACAAGGCACGCAAAAATAGTTTAGAAAACTTTCTTACAAATTTATAAGTATAGTAATTCTCTCGTGTAGGAGCTAAACAGTGAAAAATTTTTGAATTTCGTAACTTAATTTACCATATTATATAATATAATTTAATAACTTATCTAGGTACAAACCATTTCGTATATGTCTCCCGCCTGCAAGAGATTCTTACAAATACGTATTAACAAAATCAAGGTATAGCTTACTTTAGAAAAAAAAAGAAACCGCGATAAGGAAACGTCAACGATGTAGAAAATCATCAAAATGTTGACTGGAAGTGGGTTTTGAAATTCTACTTATTTGTTTTTAAACATTCTTTGCTCCGCATATAATAAAAAGAAATTTAGGCCATCTGAATATAAAAATTGGATTAATTTAAATCGTTCAGTGATTATGTTTATTCTTAGCATGATTTTTTACATGTTGGATTTTCCTCCTATCAGCTTCTGAGAGTTTTACTAACACTAAAAGGTATAAATTATATTCCAGAATTCGTTATACTAGATGTTGTGACGGTCAAGCCGCTTAATAAATTAGAATAATTGGGTTCAGTCGAAAATCCTAAAATTATAATTTAAATATCAAACACATTTAAGTATTGCGGGATGTTAGAAATATTAGAGACTTGTTAGGCAACAGTAGAAGCGTTCATTGCTTTCATCTTTGGTCGCTTAACTATTCATCGTCTAATACTGGAAAACATCTCCGAATAACCATGCAAATTCATCCTATTTCTGAAAAGCAATTTTTAAAACTGTTTCTTTAAAAAAAAATTTGTAAACTCACTTAGAATGACCATAAGACAAGATTTTTTGAAGTAGATTGCAGCAACACACCAAAATACCGAGTTCTTTTTCTAAAACGTTTTCTCTAGTTGGAGTATTAAGAAGTCTTCATCATTTTTTATTGAAGAGGAGCCGGTTATGCCATTTTACAACCATTTATGCGACATACGCGATATACAACACATATTGGTAATGTTATACGAATTCAGGTGTCTGGTCTAATAGTTTTTGTTCCAATAGGCTTTGGTAAGAAATGTAGGGTGGAATACGTCGTTAGATTTCACAATGGGAATATTTACTGCCCCACCAATTCGTGTACCTTTATATGAATGTAAGGAACTGAAAATAGAAAATAAAACGTCCCCTACAGCGATATTCTACAACTAATAGGTGCATAAAATGATTAAAACAAACCGAAAATTGAAATAAAATTCAGGTTTAGAAATTTAGTGTAAAGTTATATGTATAAAATACTAACTCTAGGGATAAGGAATATTCATTCAATCTAGCCTTTACAAAAATAGAAATAGCAAATTATTTCGAAGCTTAATTTCAACATAACATTTTTTGTTTAAAAAAGATTAGGACGCATTGTCGAAATCTTAGAAAAAGGTGCGCTAGATTTTTCCATGGTTCTTATAGCTAAATCTCTCCTTGGGACACTGTGTACTTTCTTCCAAAAGAGTCATCATGACGTGACGTCAATTTGCCACAAATTCTCAATGACAAATTATGACCTACTTTTATATGACAGAATAAAGAGAATGAAAGGATTGCGATTCCTAGCAAAAAGAATCGACCTGAACACGGAACAATTTAAGGATTGTAAAGATTTTTTGTCAAGCAATCTCTGCTGAAACTGAGCATCCTCAGCCTGTCTCGAGATATAATTTGGTTGACTTAGAGTCTAATATAATGATATACAAGCTACAACTAAAATATATTTTGCTCTAACGCTTATAATAACAAGTCAAATATAATAAATAATTTGATTACTCGTCTCGTTCTATCACTGGATAACGAAAAATATAACGCTTTTCATGGCACTCGTTCATAAGCTAACTTGAGCATCAGAAGTGGGATAACAACTATGATTGGACTAAGCAAAACAGGTTGATGATACTTTAACCGCATTTTCTACTTGATACGTTGTGGTTAGGATTTTTTTATAAACGGGTGCCATAGAAAAGCGGCCGGCTAAACCTGACTGAATAGCCAGTGATACAACGGGACACGTCTATAAACATTTCATAAAATCTGACAAAAATCCAACAGCGGAAAATGTTCCCAAAACGACACAGCATTTTACACGCGAATATGAAGTATGTCGCCACCGCGACGTAGCTAGAGATGCTGTAAAAATACGTCCTTTTGATTAGAGAACAATACATTAATTGTCTAGTTTTTTTTTTAATCTTGTTTATAACAATGGCCGTGTTTAGCGTCCCCTAGACGCTCAACCTGTACTATGTCAGCAGCTTGAAGAACATTATGGCCAGCGAGATGTTGATGAACAGGACTACAAGGACCAACTGTTGACGCGAGAACCAATCCTGAAATCACAAGAGCGTCAGTTGGGAGTTTATTTTTTTTTGCGTTGAAATGTATGCTGCAGTATAAAGCGGTGGTGGTTCTACGATTTGTGGTTTTCAAACGTCAGATTTCCATCCTACGTCTACTAATTTATTACTGTTTGTTGGAATGAATGTGATTAGTGTTGCCTATAATCCAGTGCTATAATGGTAGATCAGTAGAGTCATTTTCGCTCATCGAATTGCGTGTGTTATATTAATAAATTTTGAATCCCTCTGAAATGATACGCCTATGGAAGTGCGTTCCCCGCACGCCTTCCATCCATCGCACAGTTCTACATGTTGAGAATGAACTACTGCCTACTATTTGCACTGGAATATAAGTGTAAAAAAGCCTTTTAGACTTACATACTTGTGTAAATTATATGACTGGCCTTAGAAAAAGAGTGGTTGTAAGGTTTAAAAGTTAGTAAACTTAAAAGTTTTAATATAGATACAAAAATATGTAAAAATAAAAATTGGGGGCCCCAGGTAAATGCCTATTATCCGGATAGATGCGAAAAATAGATTGTTTACAATCATGACGTTACAAAATTCTCATTCGCGAAAAAATTGTTACTCGCAACACAAATAACTATATTTCACCAAAGAAATATAGCCAGCCCATATGGTACTTATTAATCAGCAGTCATACAATTTATAGTCATAAACTTGGTACTAATCTGTATAATTTATGTTCAGAGACTAGTAATAGTTTTAACAAGTGCTACTGATGTCGTTATTAAATTAAATTAATTAATTAAATTTCGTGACGCCACAACAGTAGTACAATAAACAAGGGCGGTACCATTAGATGTATAAAGGTTTAGAAGTTAATCAATGCTACTAACTATAGTTTTAGCTCTTTGACAATAATACAGTCCCGGAAATGGTTGGAAAAAGTGAGATGATGTAATCCTTGTTCAACTTTGAGGAAAAAGTTACTATTAATATGTTCTAAATGGTTTAGTTTTCGAGATACAGTGTTAAATTTTTTGAATAATATCACAAAAACACAAATATCTCTAAAGACATTTAAAGTAAAATAAACCAGCTAGGTACTCAACTAAATAAAGGTAAAAATTCACTAATTTATATTCAATTGTGTAACTACTGGCAGATATGGCGGAAAACATAATTATGAAGAATCCCAAAATTTTTACCCACAGAGTATTTTGGAAATTCCATAAATTTATTTGATTTGCAATTATTGTATTTCACAGAAAAAAAAACTCTTGCGTTTTATTCATAAAATTAGTCATTTTCGAGTTATTTTTTCCCTTAAAACAATCTTACCACACTGTTGAATAGATATGAAATAATTAATTCTAAAACTATTCGTTGCGCAAAAAAAATTCACAATTGTTTTCTTTCAAAAAAGCCAGTGGCGTAGAAATTTGCCCCGTTTTCATTAGTTATTTTGGTTGAAAAAAACTGTTTTTTTGTATGTTAATTAAGTACAATATGTATTTTCTGAATTAGCCCAGGAAAATAAGCTGCGAAATGACCATTTCGCGACTTTTTGTTCACGTTTTTCGCTTATAACATTTTCCCGTTCATTTCCACGAGAAAACAGTAAGGTACTTTTTTTTCGTCTTCAAAAGACTACAAAACTAGCCCTCAAGCATAAAAAATATTGATTAGATTAAAGGTTGTAAACAAAAGAAGTTTATTTATGACTGGAATTAAACATTTATAAATTACGTTATTATTTCCAGAATGTTTTGACATCGCATCCTCTCATTCCTTATCACTGTCTAACAACTCACACGAAATCTGGAATCGGTAAGTTGAATAGTTTACGAGTTATGGCCTTATAAACAAATTAACTAATTATTGGTCTGGACAATCCCGAGGATCTTCCACAATCGCATTGATTTTTTTCATGGTAGATTTCATAATAATACGTTGAAATCTATATTTTTTTTTAATTTCAAATTTGCAACGTGGAAATTTTGTTTATTTTTTAGCCTTAGTTGCAAAATGAAATATATTACGCACGAGCTTGATATAGTTATATATTTCAACGAATCTTGACGATTTTTTTTTAACTTAAAGTTCTTTTCATAAGCTATTCGAATATGTTATAATATATAACTATGTATATCACGCTCGTGTGTCGTATATATCATTTTGCAACTAGGGCTAAAAAATAAAAAAAAAATCCAGGTTGCAAATTTGAAATTAAAATAAAAGAAATTATAGATTTCAATGTATTACTATGAAATCTATCATGAAAAAAATCAGTGCGATTGTGGAAGATCTTCGGGATCATCCAGACTAATAATTAGTTAATTTGTTTATAAGGCCATAACTTTTAAACTATTCAACTTACCGATTCCAGATTTCGTGTGAGTTATTAGACAGTGATAAGGAATGAGAGGATGCGATGCCAAAACGTTCTGGTAATAATGACGCAGTTTATAAATGTTTAATTCAAAACTCATAAATAAACTTCTTCTGTTTATAACTTTTGATCTAATCAATATTTTTTTACGCTCGAGGGCTAGTTTTGTAGGTCTTTTGAAGACGAAAAAAAGCACTTTACTGTTTTCTCGTGGAAATGAACGGAAAAAAGTTAAAAGCGAAAAACGTGAATTTACGTAAAAATTATACAATTAACCACCCTGTAAACAATCTTCCCCCCATTTTTATGACTGTGGAAACTAATGTGTTATTGTACATAATATTTAGCATCTATAGTGATAAATTCAGCTTGCCGAAACAAAAAGTCGCGTCCAACTCTATATTTCCTGGCCTAAATATTAATTTAAAAAATATGCCAAAAACTAAGGCGTTTAGAATAGGAACGGAAGAAAGTTCATGGAACGATGTTGAACAAGTAGATATTCCATTTCATTATTTCCAACGTTCACTGGGACACTGTTGACTGTTACAATGAACGTATTTGCGTCAAAAATCTACTATTGCCTTTAAGTTACATCAACACCAACTCTACTACACTCTGAAATAAAACTTATAGCTGTTTTACATTGACAATTTATTGATCAATTAATTCATGAATTCGCTTCATCAAGAATTTGGACAAGTGTAATGCATCAAATCTGCTGTCAAATAACTTCATGAATTTATTCAAGTTCATGTTCTAATTTTCGTCAATTTCTTCGTGAAGTTCAGAAGCACCAACCCAACAAATTTCCAGCCTCAGATCAGTAATGAGGTTATGTTATCGGAATATGTAAATAATTGTGTGGCGTCGTGCTAGTTTTGCATTGTTTTTACTGATTTGTTACTTACAAACACTAATATTTATATAATATGTGTCAAAACGATACCGCTGTTGTATCACTACAATTATGAGTGGAAAGGTGACATTTTTGAAAATTATTTGCTTCTTTTATTCGTTGGTAGAACTGATTCACCCGTTAAAAAACTTGACAAAGTCTGTAGCAGTGTAAAATCACACTGTTTACCAATAAATTCGTGAATTAATTCATGAAGAACTTCGTCAATTTATTCATCGATAAATTGTCAATATAAAACGGCTATTACAGATGCGACAATTACGCCGCAGTACAGGTAATTATGTACAAAACACTCAGGCCGAGAGTTAATGTGCGGTAAATAACCAACGTGCTGGAACAAAAGGCGCAGTAGTGAGCCGGGCTCGCGCAAATCGTTAGGTACGTTAATGAATAATTGATAGCTACTAGCGTGGAAGCCTGAAGCCAAAGCCTACATGCCGTATACATGCCGCTTTATTGTTAGACTCGACCTAGGTAAGTTACCAAAAGGGACAAACAGTACGCTGTTAGCCAACACTAAAACATTAACATGGCCTACACGGAACAATCAATAGGGTTCAGGAGGGCTAGACATAATAAATCGGGACAAGGTCTGTCCATTTGGGTAGCGTGACGAGAAGCCGAGAAAGTTTTTTTCATTCCACCACAAAATTTAATAACTGCGTCGCTCAATGAGAAGCAGAATAGGTGTTTTTTTTTACAATATTTTGAAGGTAAACACCAACAATTTTTTCATATATCGGCTACAAATGCATGGGCGTAGCTACAATGCTTGGGGTGGGCCCAGGGGTCTATGGAGGCCTTAAGAAAAAAGAAAAAAAACGCTCGCATTCGACGACTTGCTGGTATAAAATTTGAACACGTTTTGATTTGATACTAAAAAAAAGTCACGCCATGCAGTCACCGACACTTAACTAGTATGACAAAGATAATATTAGATTTTTTTTCAGGGGTCGGCCGTAGGAATGTTTCAACAGGTAGCCATCTTTATATGGAATTAATATTTTTTGTTTTTTTTTTATGGAACACTAGTATTAACTTTTTTTAATTTTACAATAATTTTAATGAAGCGACCTTTAATCTTGTTATTTTTAATGGAATATCCAGTATGTTTTGATGGGACAGTGTAAAACAACTTAAATACAGTCAGCAAAAAAATTAAAAGATCAGAAAAATTTCCACATTTTTTTAGTAATCTTTTGAAATGCTGTAATTTCGTGATTAATGCGGAGAAAATAAAAAAAGCATCTTGAAGTTTGAAGATTCTAGTTTTGAAATCTTGATATGAAAAATTTTTAGGTTTTTCCTTTTGGGGGCATTCAAAGGAATTAAGGGCAGGGCAAAATTTTTGCATTCTTTTTTTTTTTCAACTGTGTATGGGGTCTGATTTTTTTTTCTGGCTTTGTCAGTGCCAGAATCATTTAGCCTCATTCATCAGCTTTAATTTGGTTTATTTTTATTTTCTGTACAATTATTATTCATTGAGATATCGGCTATTGAGTGAAAAGTCTTTTTTTATCATCAATATCTCATGAACTAACTCTCGTAGAGCGAAGGGAATGTGGGTTTAAAAAAACTGAATCAATCCTCTTTAAGGTTCTTTTGGTATGTTTGAGAAATCTTTTATTTTTTTATACGCAGCATTAATTTGAAAAGTGCAAAAAATGACTTTTCTGATGTTTTGGAAAATCAGCGAATTCTTGGCAAATATTGCGA